ACGCCCAGCTAATTTTCTGTATTTTTAGTAGAGACAGGGTTTTACCATGTTAGCCAGGATGGTCTTGATCTCCTGTCCTCGTGATCCACCCGCCTCGGCCTCCCAAAGTGCTGGGATTACAGGCGTGAGCCACAGCGCCCGGCCATTGTCCTGGATTATTTAGGTGGGCTCAACCTGATCAGGAATTCTTTTTTTCTTTTTTCTTTTTGACTTTTTAGGTTCAAGGGATACATATTCAGGTTTGTTACATGGATAAATTGTGTATCATGGGTGTTTGGTGTGCAGATAATTTTGTTACTCAGGTAATCAGCACAATACTGGATAGGTAGTTTTTTTTAATCTTCGCCCTCCTCCCACCCTCTACCCTCAAGGATGCTCCAGTGTCTATTGTTCCCTTCTTTGGGTCTATGTGTACTCAAGGTTTAGCTCCCACTTACAGGTGAGAATACGTGGTACTTGGTTTTCTGTTCCTACATTAATTTGCTTGGAATAATGGTCTCCAGCTCCATCCACGTTGCTGTGAAGGACATGATTTCATTCTTGTTTTTTGGCTGGGTAGCATTCCATGGTGTATATGTACCGCATTTTTCTTTATCCGTTCCACTGTTGATGGGCATCTAGGTTGATTTCTTGTCTTTGCTATTGTGAATAGTGCTGTACTGATCACGAATTCTTAAAAGTAGAGATAACTGAAGAAATGTAGGTCAGGTGTAGTGTTGGATTTCATCTACAGTGATTTCTACATCTAGTGAACTATGATTATCTCTTTCTGAATTATTGAATTAAGTGTTAAAATGCATTAAAAGATTTAAAGTTTAAATATTCTTGCATTCTCAGGATTCATAACTTGGTCAAGATATTTGTTTATAGCACACTGATGGACACAGTCTACTTTTTTCTCATCTATTTTTCATCTAATTATTAATAGTGATTTTCCTATCATGTTTCTTTATTATTTGTTCTCTGACTTTAGAATTAACATTATTCATATCTGATAAAGTGAGTTGTCTAGCTTTTCATATTTTGCCCCATTCTCTTGAATATTTTAAATAAGTCCAATAACCTTCTTTGAAGGTTTAGTAGGACTGCCCTGTGAAACAATCTGGATATAGTTGGGCAGAAATAGAATTTTTACAACTGTTTTAACTTCTTTACTTGCAATAAGTCTTTTCCATCGACATTTTTTTTGTTGTTTTTATAATTTCAAGATTGTTTACATCTCTACTATAGCTGCAGTGGCATATTTATCTGTCGTAACACTGTCTTGCTCTTAATTAACATTGTCTGTTTTTTTTCCTCTGTTCAAAGAAACAGCTGTTTTTAGCAGGCTAGGTCCTCAGCAGTGGCAGCTGCCAGGCCAGCTGCCTGGTGAGTGGCGACTCAATTACTGTGCCCATGCAGTGTCCATCGCAGCCACCGTGGCCACTTCATGCACGAACTCCATGAGCAAGCCCTGTGCGACTGAGTGGCATCGTCCATCAAGCCATCTCACCCACCTGGTTACAGGGAGCCCCAGCCCTTGGAGACCCTCTGGTGGGCATCTACATGCAACCTCTATCTTCACACGCTCTTCCCATGGAAAGAGGTGAATGCACACTTCTCTCTTCTACCCCCTAATTTTCCAACTTTATTTTCCCCAAGTTCCAGACTGGCCAGGCAACCCATGAGCCACTGCCCATGACTCATTCATTCATGCACTGCTGGGGCGTCATTTCTACCCTCCACCTCCTGTGGTCCGGTTTGAGTTTTGATTCCTAGTTCCTGGCTGGACAGCCATTTCCAAAGCTGTTCTGGTGTCAGCTCCCAAGCCGACTGCTCTTGTGGTAGATTCTCCTTTTTATATCTGAGTCACAGGTGTTTATTTCCTGGAATTAAACAAAAATTTCACTGGTATTTCCAATGCAGCATTTCTAAGGACTTGGAGTAGGAGAAATTCTATTAGCTTAGAGAGAATTGTTTCAAAACACCAGAAATGTAAACTTGAATGAAAGACATCATGCATGGAGGAAGGGGGACAAATCACAGGTGGGCAGTGGGTTTTGACCAAGTAAAATCTCAGATAAACACCTTCATCAAGCAACATCATGTCCATCCTCCAAGAAACACCTTGGAATTCTACTCACTCATAAACCACCCTCCCCCACCCTACATTAGCCACTGTCTTGATTTGTAACACTGTAGATTAGTTCTGTCGGTTCTGATCGAATGAAATTAAAAGTTGTTTTCATGTGGTCGGGCTCATCATCTTTGTTGGGCTCATCATCTTGCTATGTGTGGTCATAGCCTATTCTCTCCCATGGCCGTCAAGTGCTCCACTTTATTTATTTACTTATTTTGAGACGGAGTTTCACTCTTGTCGCCCAGGCTGGAGTGCAATGGTGCGATCTCGGCTCACTGCAACGCCCGCCTCCCGGGTTCAAGCAATTCGTCTACCTCCGCCTCCCGAGTAGCTGGGATTACAGGCATGAGCCGCGTCCGGCCAAGGATAAATCTCTTATTTCAGAAATTATTCAGCTAGTAAATGAGGAAGGAATGAGAGACTGAGACTATAATTCTTTTGCAACCCATAACGAATTAACAGATTTAGCCATTGAAAAGCAATGGCAATTAAAAGTAGAGTAAAAGTGCCGGTCGCGGTGGCTCACGCCTATAATCCCAGCACTTTGGGAGGCCGAGGCGGTCGGATCACGAGGTCAGGAGATTGAAACCATCCTGGCTAATACGGTGAAACCCTGTCTGTACTAAAAATACAAAAAATTAGTTGGGCGTGGCGGGCGCCTGTGGTCCCAGCTACTCGGGAGGCTGAGGCGGAAGAGTGGCGTGAACCCGGGAGGCGGAGCTTGCAGTGAGCTGTGATCGCGCCACTGCACTCCAGCCTGGGCGACAGAGACTCTATCTAAAAAAAAAAAAAAGAAAGAAAAAAAAAAGTAGAGTATAAATAATCAGTACTAAGTTCTTCCTCTTGATGGAAGAATACAATGGAGTGCCATAAAGTATTCAAGAAGAAAATCAAGTCTGCCTATAAGCAAATATCTGCAGCCAAGTACCAATTTATAGAAAGTACAGATAAAACCGGTCCATATTAAACTATGCCTTGGGATGGAGACAGCAAAATGCAAACTATGGAAAACTCAACCAGGACAATGGAGGAGCATAGAGAGAAAAAGAAAATAGGCCAGGCTGCGGCTGCTAACGCCTGTAATCCCAGCCCTTAGGGAGGCCGAGGCAGGCAGATCATGAGGTCAGGAGATTGAGACCATCCTGGCTAACACGGTGAAACCCCGTTTCTACTAAAAATACAAAAAAATTAGCTGGGCATGGTGGCACGCGCCTGTAGTCCCAGATACTCGGGAGGCTGAGGCAGGCGAATCGCTTGAATCCAGGAGGCGGAGGTTGCAGTGAGCCGAGATCGCGCCACTGCACTCCAGCCTGGGTGACAGATTGAGACTCCGTCTTAAAAAAAAAAAGAAAAAAAAGAGAACAAAAATTATATATCTCAAGGTAAAACTAAACTACAATTTCAGATGATGAAAATATAAAATAGAACAAAGAAGTGATGATCATAAAGGTCAGGCTGTGGTTTTATGCAGAGGAGGGAAGCCTTTATCACTGAGTTGGGGCAAATGATGGGGTTTCTGGGCTGGTTGACAAACTTTTATATCTCTGGTGGTTGAAGGGTGTTTATCTTTTATTATTATTATTAAAGGGAAACATTTTCAGACAGTTTTTCTTTTTGGGTAACTTTTATTTTATGACAAAAAGCTAATGAAGAATAAAATAATTTATAGGTCGTGATTACTGTTTTGCACAAAGCCTACTCTCCACGCCCCTCTGCAGACACTGAGTTCCCAAAACAAGTGGCAGCCCCAGGACCCCCTGGTAGGGCCACCTCACTTCCGGGTGTGTTCATGTCACTGAAGGCAGTGTCCCAGGTCTATTCCTTGATGCCTGGGAGAACCTGATAGGACACAGTTGAGGGGAAGCCTTCTCTGTCACCTGCAGGTTCTTGGCTGTCACTGTAGAGGGAGCGGGTCCTCACCTCTCCCACAGGCCGGATCACAGCCAGAACCTCCTCTCTGCATGGGGAGTGAGGCTTGGTCCTTTCCCTGAACACAGAGACAAAGATCTCTGTGTCATCACAAGAAGGGTTCAACTCTTCAGAGCAGATGTTCCCCTACAAGGTCAGCCCCTGAATGTTGGTGACAGATGTCCCACCTCCATCCCTTCCCAGTCCTTTCTGTTCTGCTATGAATCTGTCAGTCATTGGGAACTAGCAGGGAAAGGGAAAGAGGAGGGGAGATTGCTTTGATGCTGGCTCAGGGCATTGAGACACACCTCTTCTTCTTCTCTCTGAACCTCACACTTTATCCGCTCCCAGACGCATGAAATAAAACACAGACCAGAAATGTCTATTTAAAGAGTAAACATCTATGGTATAAAATTATGCACATATAATATTAGACAGAGTAATGCATAACAGTGTGACGGGGCGAGGGGACCTCAAGGTGACAAGAAAGCTGGTCCGGAGTCATCACCAAGATACTCACAAAGCTTACCTATGATAACCTAATTACTACACATGTAATAAATTAAAATATATTAAAACATAAGAAAATAGGACAGGCACGGTGGCTAATATAATAAAATATATTAAAATACAATAAAATAGGCCAGGCACAGTGGCTCATGCTTGTAATCCCAGCACTTTGGGAGGCTGAAGCAGGTGCATCACCTGAGGTCAGAAGTTTGAGACTAGGCTGGCCAATTTGGCAAAACCCCGTCTCTACAAAAAATACAAAAATTAGCTGAGTGTGGTGGTGCCTGTCTGTAATCCCAGCTATTCGGGAGGCTGAGGTATGAGAACTGCTTGAACCTGGGAGGCAAAGGTTGCAGTGAGCTGAGATCAAGTCAGTGAACTGCAGTCTGGGTGACAGAGTGAGACTCCGTCTCAAAAAAAAAAAAAAAGAAAAAAACCAAAAAAACCAAACACACACACACACAACAGAAATGATGAAACCAATTAATATGGCACTGTTAAGGGCCCCACAACCCTGTACTGGACTGAACGAAGGATGAACGTGGGAATAAAGACAAAAGAGTATATTTGGAACAAGGGGTCAGGGGGCTCCTTGCTTCTCGTGAACAAGGGCTCCCTGATCTTCCACAGCCCTTCGTATTTATTGGTATAGGAGATAGCGAGAAGAGGGGTGGAAGAAGGAGTCAGCTGCTGGGTCCAGAGTAGGCTTGCAAGACTGCATTCCTCGAACAATAGGCTCTAGACGACCCAGTAGATAACCTCAGTGAGCACCATGGAGTGATTGTCCTCAGCAAATCTTCTGTCGGCAGGAGGCAGGAGCAGTCCTGAGTTTGCCCACATCCTGCATTCATGATAAGCGGTTTGCTGTTTGATCATATAGCCTCCAAAGGAATGTTGAGTTGGTCATGATCTCTTTGCTGCTCTCTATATGGCAGAGATGCAAACACCTCATATCCACTAACACTTTGCAGCATCCAACAACAATAAATAAGTGCTGATATTTTCTCTGTTTCATAGGTCAGGAAACAGAGGGAAAGTGCTGGTGAGATCCAGGCAGGGAGTTGAATCCCGGCCACCTGTCTGTAGAGTCTAGGCACCCTCAGTGGAGCCAGTGGACCCAGGAGCTGACATCAGAGGCTGAAATCCGAGCTGTGTGGCATTCCTGTGGTCTCCGGTCCCAACCGGGTGTTGATCCAGGGTCCGCAGGCTCACGAGCTCTGGAGAAAAGAGGGAAACGGGTAAATGCTCCACTGGGTGCAGTGTTCTGTTTATTCCCTGAGGACTTTTCTCTCTTCAGTTGCTCCAAAACCAGATTCCCCCTTTCTCTGAGGGAAGATGAGGCCCCTACTTTTTTCTTCCTCCCTCCCTGCTTTTCCCAGCTCCTGCCAGTTCCCTCCCATCACTCCATCAACATCAGCCCCTGCCCTTGCCCACCACCCATCGTACACGGAGTGAAAGGGCCACAAGACTAAAGGACAAGACCCAAGAGGGAACCCAGCACCTTCCCCTCCTCTCAGACCTGACCAGTCCTGTTACAGCGAGAGGCCTCCCCAAAGAGAGGCCCTGACCCTTGCTCTCAGTCCCCAGGCCCTCCTCTCCTGCAGAGGCACCTGCACACCAGCGCAGGCCCTGCCCACTGTGGGCTCTGCCCTCTATCTGCAGCTCAGTGCTCCTCCCCTCCCAGCCCTGAGCAGACAGCTCCTAACTGGGAATCCCATCAGGAAGGCTGGGGGGCCCAGCAGGCCCAGCATGGAAAGATGTGGCTGCCAGAGGATCTGCACCTGACGTGACCCTGGGACCCCCACCTTGCTCGAGAAGGCCTGGCCTCTCCTGACCCTCAGCACCCACCGAGGCCTGTGACCTGCTCTTGAGTCACCACTGCTCCTGCCTGGTCCACTTACTCCACCCCAGGGCTGCTGCTTGGTGAGGGTGTGAGGCCTTCCTGCTCTGTCCCTAGCAGGGATTCCACCTAGGCCACTGACCTTGCAACCTACAAGGGATTTTCTCCATGTGAAGTAGGGGAGTCCCCTTAGCCTGAGGCTGCCTCTGCCCACCCTCTGCACCTGGGAACTGCCACTGCCACAGCCACCATCTCCCACACAGACTCTCCTGGAGAGGGGGCTCCAAATTTGAGTTCCTGTTTTATTTAATATGCTTTACAACAGCAGTATTAGAGGAAATCCTATTAAGATTATAGAGCTGAAATTATGAACATTTTTATTGGACATCAACATTGAAAGCAGGAATTTTGAGCAATTGGCACGTGAATTTCATACCCTTTTCCTGGCCAAAACCCCAGTGACCTACGAGGAAACCATTCCTGCCCACAGGGAAGCAGAACCGACAATCCCTCTACGGGAGACACCGCAGGTGAGAGCAGGAGCGACCACAGACCTGCGCTGCCCCTGCTGTGGGTGCCTCCTGGACGGGGCCCTCTTGCTGCAGGGCAGGGGATGAACCTTCCCATCTGCTCAGGCCTGAGGGGCCGACTGATAGTGCAATTAGGTTCAAGGATGAGAAACCAGCGCCCCTACTGCCAGACACACAGAAGTGGGGAAATGACAGAGACTCAGGTCTCCTGGACATCCCAGCTTCTCACTGTCCCCTGCATGGCCTGTTTTTGCAGAAACACAAAACTTCCTGCTGTCTCTTTTCATCTCCCATCAAACAACCTGACTGGGGGGGAAAAGATTCTGACCGTCCCTTACTCCAAATTTACCAGGCAGTGACTACCTTGAGAAAGGGAAGTTGGCTCAGGAAGGGCAAGGTGAGGCCACAGAGCACAGAACAAAGCCCCCAAAAGATGGCGCCTGGGGACTGTGTCCCTCAGGGACTGGAACACAAAACACTCGGAGGTGGGATGAAAACAGGGACCACAGCTGCCCTGATGAGGGGCTGGGCCCCGCTCCTCAAATGGCCCAGGAACATCTGCTTATCTACTCATCCATGTCATCTGCAAGGAAACTCTAGGAGGCCAAGTGGTGGGAACCTGGAAAGTGCCTCCTGGAGGAGGCACATAGGGGAGGCACTGCCTCTCCTTGGATTCCTCTCCAGTTTCTGGCCCTCCCCAGATCGCAGCTGCCTTTACTATTTGCTCCCTCTGAGGCCATGATCATCCATCAGCATGTGATTCCCAACTCACCCCACCTGGACGCACCCTCGTGAGCCTGAGAGACAGAGAGGCCGGGACGGGGACAGAGCAGGCGCTGCAGCCCTCCCTGCTGCCCACTCCACCTGCAGCAGGAGGAGGCCACAGCTGGACGTTCGAGGGCCTTTCCCCAGTCTTGGCTTGGGAAGGACTTATGGGTGTAGATGGGAATGTGGCTCCCATTCCCCTCCCAAATACCCCAACTTCCATCCCCTATTCCAGCCTTGTCACCTACATCCTATCAGGAGCAATGAGGGGACCCTGCTGCCCAGACAGGAGCCTTGTCATCTCCAGAAACTGCCTCCTTTTCTCACCTGGACCCTCTGCCGCTGATGTTTTCTTCTTCTTGCAACGATGAACACAGATAATAATAAATGCTGTAACAACGGCAACAGCAACAAGAACATACAGAAGGTTTAGCCGTTCACTCTGAAGCACCGGTGGCTTCCCTGAAAAAAGGGACTTGTTATACACTGGGCAGAGAACTACAGCCTTCCCTGTTGTCCCTACCCTGGCCTGACCCTCTCCAGGGTCACCCCAGCCTCACCAGAGGGCACAGGGTGAGTGCTGTGATTCCCGCTGTGTTCCATGTAGCAGGCGAACCTCTGCTCCTCGCCTTGGCGAATCCTGGTGGCCACCCAGGTCTGGTAGGTTCCATTCTGATCAGGCAGGACATCCCCCCACTGCTGGGCGTCATGGCTCAAAGATACTCCATCCTGACGCCAGGTCAGTGTGATATTCCCAGGATAGAAGCCGGAAGCCCTGCATGTCACGGTGATGTTGTCCTCTGAGGCCTCGCCGTGGGTGACGTTCACCATGGGGGGCACTGGAGAAGAAAGGGCAGAGCCAGTGAAGCCCTGCTCCCCACAAAGGGAGATGCGGGGAACAGGTCTGCTCCTCTCCACTGTTCCCACTCTGGCTGAATCCCTCACAGATCCCGGACCTTCTGTAAGTCTGTCCTCAACCTGTGGCCAAATTACTCCAGGCTAGCTGGAGGATGGGCCTTGGGACTGTGGCCTCAGGCTCTGGGATCCCCACATTGATGCTGAGGAGGGGGATGTCGAGGTGGACTCCTGGGTCATGGGGCCAGGAGGGAACTCTGGGATGGGCAGGCTGGGAGGCAGAGGGGGCAGCCCTGGCCCTGAGGGCTTCCTCTCCTGCCTAACTCCCACCCCAGGCTCAGGCTTCTGTCACAGGGCCCGCCGCTTTCCCAGATTACAACACTGGATGGTTCAGTCCCTGACCCACTGTCTTTATCCAGTGGCTCTAACGATAGAGGCAAATCAGGACACAATATGCCAACAGGAAATGCTTGCATCCATAGCACAGGGAGGGTTTCCCTGGACAGAGCTAGGAGGTGGAGGCAACTCTAGCAGAATTGGAGGGAGAGGAGAGCCCCTGGCCAGGGTTGGTACCTGTTCTCCTGACGGCCACCCTGGATTTCTGATATCGCCGTAGTTTCTTCAAGCAGTCTGCCCGCATAGCGCGATAGTGTGTGTTGGTCTTCATGGTATCTTCCTTCCAGAAATTCATAGCCAAGGTCTGAGCTCTGGAGGACTGGGCCACTGTCCATTTCTGAGTCTCCAGGTTTAGGGAGAGGAAGAGCTCGCCATCGTAGTAGAAATGCCAGAAGCCCCCGGTGCTGCCGTCTTCATAGATCTCACAGATCTTAATCTTCTGGAGGGAATGCAAACCTGCCCCCACCCAGCAGTGACTTCTCCATTCCCGAAACCGTCACCTTTCCACTCAGGTGAGGAACTCAGCCCAGCAGGGACACCTCCCTGGCCCTCCTCCGTGCCTCCCTGTGTGGGCTGAGTGCTGGCTCACCTCCCTGCTGAGCCCCACTGACCTACTTCTCACCCCCACCCCCAGCCAGAACCAGCAGGAAGAGACGGGTCCTGCTCTCTGCCTCCAACACTCCTGGAGAAGGCCTCCCATTACTCTTGCCCCTGCCCGCACTCACCTCCTTTCTGGCCCTCAATATGAGTCAGGGTCCTCCTGAGGTCCTGCGCATTCTCTGTCAAGTCCTCGGTCTCTTGGTCTCCCAGGACTGCTTCTGCCCACTGTCCCTGGGGCCTTGCCCTGCGCGTCTCCCTGTCATAGCGCACGAAGAGCTGACTATCCAGATGTCCCTCAGCGAGAAACTCTGACTGCACAGATCCATCCTGGGACAGCACTGTGATGTTGTAACGAAGACTGTGGAGCTCTGGGGAAGAGGAAATCACAGATGAAACTTCTTCCTGGAAATAACTTAACATCGATGTTTAACACACAGGTCTGTCTCAAGCTTCTTGAGGAGGCAGGAAATGCACATGGGCAAAGGGACAAGAATGAGTATTTCAGATACAAGGAAAACTGTGAGGGTGGGAGGACAGAGGAGGGGACTGACGAACAGAAGAAGGGGGAATGGAGATGGCAAACTTGTAGGCCAGGTGCCAGGACTGGGTGGCCACAAGCCCCCTAAGGGAATAGGGGCCATGGGGTGAGGCTGCCCTGAAGGGTCAAGGGAAGGCAGTGGTGGAAGGAAGGTCTTGCCAGAGGGGACGGTGGGAATGGGAAGGGACTCAGGCTCAGGGGGACCCATGTCCAGTGTGGCTGTGGTGCACAGGTGAGGGTGAGATGGAGGCAAGGGGAGCTGCCTCGAGAAAAGATTCATCATGGGCATGGCGGGGACAAGGGAGTGGGTGGTCATGAGGCACAAGGGGTAGGAAGGTTGTAGCCCCAGGGAAGCTTATAGTGGGGTCAGTATCCCAGAGGGGAGCAATGGTGTGGGCTTGGGTCCAAAGTGGAGGAGTGGCATGACAAGGCCCCAGGACAGCAATTGGATGGACCAGCTAGTGTCCACCGGGGTGGGCAGGTGACAGGTCTCAAAGAGTCAGTCCATCTTTTCAGCAAAGAGTGTTGGGGGCACTGGATGTTCAAATAAAATAAAATTGGACCCTTAATTTGTACTATATACAAAAATTAACTCAAAATGAATCAAAGACCTAAACTCTACACTCAAGAACTAAAACTTAAAAATATCTTAGAAAAAAGCATTGGGGATAATTTTCATGACACAGGATTTGACAGTGCTTTCATGGATATGACGCCAAAGCACAGATAGAATAGAAAGAACTGACAAACTGGACTCATGAAAAATCAAAACATCTGTGCATCAAAGGGCACAATCAGAGTGAAAAAGCAATCAACCCCTGAAATGAAATAAATATTGCAAGTCATATATCTGATAAGATATTAGCTTCCAGAAGGCCAGGCGTGGTGGCTCACGCCTGTAATCCCAGCACTTTGGGAGGCCGAGGCAGGCGGATCACGAGGTCAGGAGATCAAGACCATACTGGCTAACATGGTGAAATTCCGTCTCTGCTAAGAAAAAAAAAAATACAAAAAAAGTAGCCGGGCACGGTGGTGGGCACCTGTAGTCTCAGCTACTTGGGAGGCCGAGGCAGGAGAATGGCGTGAACCGAGGAGGCGGAGTTTGCAGTGAGCTGAGATGGCGCCACTGCACTCCAGCCTGGGTGACAGAGGGAGAC